CCACGTCAAGGTAACACAACACTGCACAACACTGCACAGCAGCACACAGTCCAGTCTCACTGACGAATATCAGCACAGTGCTGGGGCCCTACCACATCAAGGTAGTACAATGCTGCACAACGCTGCACAACGCTGCACGCAGTCCAGTCTCACTTATGAATTTCAGCACAGTGCTGGGGCCCTACCACGTCAAGGTAACACAACACTGCATAAGAACACCGCACAACCCTCCACAGCAGCAGTCCCAGTCATGGCTCCTCCTCCCCCTGTGTGCCTGCAGTTCCGCACACTGTCCATGGTGTCGGAGTGCCTGTTCTCCCTCATCAACGGGGACGACATGTTCGTGACCTTCGCCGAGATGCAGGACAGCAGCCTGCTGGTGTGGTGGTTCAGCCAGGTGTACTTGTACACCTTCATCTCCCTCTTCATCTACATGGTGCTCAGCCTCTTCATCGCACTCATCACCGGCGCCTATGAGTGCATCAAGGTACAGTAGGACAGGGAGAGGGGAGAGAGTGGACAAGGAGGCGGAGGGGGAGGGGAGGGAGTGGACGGAGAGAGGGGAGGGAGAGGAGAGGGAGTAGACAGGGAGGGCGGAGGGGGAGAGAGTGGACAAGGAGGGGGAGGGGAGGGAGTGGACGGAGAGAGGGGAGGGAGTGGAGAGGGAGTAGACAGGGAGGGCGGAGGGGGAGAGAGTGGACAAGGAGGGGGAGGGGAGGGAGTGGACGGAAAGAGGGGAGGAAGAGGATAGGGAGTGGACAGGAAGGGCGGAGGGGAAGGGGAGGGAGTGGACGGAGAGAGGGGGGGAAGAGGAGAGGGAGTGGACAGGGAGGGCGGAGGGGGAGAGAGTGGACAAGGAGGGGGAGGGGAGGGAGTGGACGGAAAGAGGGGAGGAAGAGGATAGGGAGTGGACAGGAAGGGCGGAGGGGAAGGGGAGGGAGTGGACGGAGAGAGGGGGGGAAGAGGAGAGGGAGTGGACAGGGAGGGCGGAGGGGGAGAGAGTGGACAAGGAGGGGGAGGGGAGGGAGTGGACAGAGAGAGGGGAGGGAGAGGGGACGGATGGAGAGGGGGTAGAAGGGGGAGGGAGAGGGCAGTGGGAAGAGGGAGGAGACAGTGCAAGAGGCTATGTAGAGGGAGGAGGAGAGGCAGATGACGTGCGGTTTGGGTAGGTAGGGGGGTAAAAGTCACCCCTTCTGCTCCCTCACTCTCTCGCTCTCTCTCTGTCTCCAGCACCAGACCATGGAGACTGCCCACATCACGGACCTGCAGGCCTTCATCGCCAAGTGCACGGACACGCCCGGATCCGGGAAGTTCCGGGGGCTGGACACCTCGGCCTGCTCCATCTTCTGCTGCTGTGACAGGTGAGCGCACGTGCGTGTGTGCGTGTGCTCATGCATGGTGCCTCTCCAGTAGAAACGGGCCTGTTGATGTCAGAACCGGTGGCTGTGTGTTCTCTGGTTCCAGAACCACGACGTACGAGGACGTGCTCCTGGTGAACTGACCGGGGCTGCTGGCTGGGGCTGGAGTGCCTTGCTGGACACTGCAGTGCGCTGACGCTGGAAGAGAAGCGGCCCCTCCCTGCGACACGCCGACCACATGCCAACACACCTGCCTCGACACACTGCCCGCTCACACAGAGCACAAGTGTGGGAGCTCTCCCTGCCCTGCATCTCCTTTTAAACTTAATCCCCTTCCCAGGCCATGCACAGGGACGGTAGAGAAGCAGGATGTCTTTATTCCCCGTGGACGTTATTTTATTTCTTTTTGTTCTATTTTATTTAAGGGAAGCAGACTAGACTCCAGGTTCAGTGTTCTGATCCGCTCCAGGTTTTCCAGCTGCAGGCCGACTCTCTTTTATGAAATTGCACCTGTGGGCGAGTGACCTGAAACGTCCAGTCAGTCCTGGACCAACCTGCCCAGCAGCTAGCCTGTCGCTTAGAGCTCAGTGAGTGAGCGAATCCCCTTTCCCTCCTCATCCTCTAGAGCGCCTTCACAGCTAACAGACCCTTGGGAGTTCTTCCGGGTCGGAGGTCAGAGCCAGAGTCGACCTCTGACCCTTGAGCACTCCTTCAGTGCTGCTCCACACGTCTACACAGACCTCTTCCTGCTCCTGCAGCTGCTAGTGCCTGGAGTGGAATACACTGCCATGCAGTGGGCGTCTAATCCAGTTCCCTTAATTTTAAAGTATTATTTTTGTTTTTGGTCTTTGTTCTTTGTGTGTATGTCTAGTCCCATGGCCAGTTTGCCTCTTGGGTCCCTCTGATCCCTGTATGGCAGAAGGTAAATTTCTGTAGCAGTAGAGCTTGAATTGTTCATTATGGGGGGGGGTTGTTTTTTAATTTTTTAATCTGTAAACACTGGATGACACCAGATGGTTCGGGCAACAGCAAGCAAGATCCTGAGCTGATCCTCGCTCCTGTGACCAGTGAGAAACCTGAGAGTAGGGGTAGATGCAGGCCATCATGGCACCTCTGGGTCTAAATGATGGACAGACAGTGGAGACCCAGAAGAATTTCTCATTCAGTAACGAAGTCAGCAGTGCAATCTATAAATCCGGAAATAAAGGAGTGACCGCAAGAGTGACCATCATCACCTCTTGTGGGTGAAAGCTGCCAGACGGGATGGGTGGCCATCATCCACCTCCCTCATGCAGACCTGAGTAGTGGCTCAAAGTGTGCAAGGCCTTCTAATCGCTCACAAAGCACCTGTTACACAAGACCTGTCTGATCAGCAGTTGACCTGTCAGGGGAACTACTCGCAGAGTCAGAGGCTGGGAGTAAGCAGATGGGGGGGGGGGAGTTTGGGGACTTCTTGTTTTGGGGGGAGGGGTGGCTCGAGACTGCCATCACCCTTCTGTGATCATCTGAATCATGGATTCATGAGAACTGACCGCATCTCCCTTGTTTTGTATTTGTTTTACTTTACAATTGCCATTGTTCTTTGCTATTAACAACCCCACCAAGCTGTGTCTCAGCTTGCAGGGGCACCCCACTACCCCACAATGAGGAGGAGGAAGTGCAGACAAGGCTCCACACACTGATGTGACCCAGGCTGGAACCCGTGGAGCCTGGATAACACCTCAACTGGGATTCGGAGTGAGTAACTCAACATTGACTGATCTGCTTGGGATTCGTGGGGAGTGAGCACCCCCTGCTGATCCAGTTGGGATTTAGAGAGAGTGAGTGCCCTGCTGACTGATCCAGTCGGGATTCAGAGGGAGTGAGCGCCCCCTGCTGGCTGATCCAGTCGGGATTCAGAGGGAGTGAGTGCCCCTTTGACTGTAGCTGAAGTAGCACCTCCACAGGTGTCCGATCCATTTGGGAGCACAGATCTTCTTTTCTTCTGAAACGCACAACAGGCTCCGAGTGCTCGGACCACGGAGAGAGACGGAGCCTTCTCTTTGTGTCAGGAGTGTAGTAGTGTGTGTAAATATATTTATGTGTACAGCGAACACCGAGGTGTACAGAGGTACGGTCTGTGCCTGCGCTGCAATTCTCTGTCGCTTCCTGTCACTGTCAGGATGTCAGCTGTCAACTCAGCCGCTTCTAGGGGGAGGTGTTTCTCCTCCTGTGTTGCTGAATTCTAATGTTTAATTTCGCGTTTTCTGTTTTTATTGTAAGACGTCAGAGTTGTTGTAGGAGGTCGTTGCACACGCGGGAGACCTGCCTCGCGCTGGGGGAGACAGACCTGTGCGCTCCCCCAGCCTTTCATCGAATTAAAAGCACTTTTTAAAGGACCCTCCAGCCCGGCTCTTGGCTTAGTTTCTGGGGATCTCTGTTCCAGTGCAGCTCCTGGAGGGCTGGGACCTGGGCGCTGTGGGGCTCTTCGTGAAGGGGGAGGATTTCTAGGGGTTCCTCGGGGGGGACTCTAGGGGG